TTTTTTTAAAGGAAATTATAATTTTACGGAAATCCACAAGGTGAAGTGAAAATTGCAATGTTTAGATAGGCAAAGCCAATGTTGAGGAATAGCTAAAGTGGCAGTGGAGGGTAAGTATGTTTTGGAATTTACTTTGTGTATAGTATCACAAACTTCCAAGCAGTCACTAAGAGATGATACTTAATATAGTTGAGTTCCTTCAATTTCTACAACAATAAATTAAATCAGTTGCATCAACCACAAACACATGAATATAGTAACCCCAGTTTTTCATTCTACTGCTACCTTTCAAAGAACAGTCATTCTATGGGGAGGATGCAGGACTAACCAATCACAACGTTCAGCAAAAGGGTTCTCATAGATGGTAAGAGGTGTGGGATTTCAGATTTGATTAAAATCAAATAAAACATAATTAATAATCCATAGTTTGTAACTAACAATTCTAGAAACTAAAACTGTGACAACAGTGCAGTAAGAGAATTTGTTAGAGTAAGAGGATACTGAATCTAAACTTTACAACATCAAATAAGCATCTGACAAATGGCTTTCCCACTTGAAAGAAAAACAAAATTTCAAAGAAAATTGTATTTATACAAGTTCATAAGTTCACTACAGACAAATAAATTTTGTGATATGATTTAAGTATTACCTGAGCCAATAACTTGTTGTATTACCTTGACACATTGCCAAGGAAAAGAATGAAGATTCACGAGTGCAAATGCATAAAGAAAGCTAGTGCACAAGGAAATGTGTTGCCCTCCTATTGGTGGAGAGGTTTTTACTGCATAATTGTGAGATTAGGTATGAGTTCACTAAAGGCTTGTGGCATACAAATCGCTAATGCAGACATAAGGGGAAGATAGCTTACTGTGTGAAGTGGTGTTGTAACATCTGGTAAAATGGTAAGATCATATTAATGTTCATTTAAATTGTTCAAGAAAGATACATAATGTTGTGTCACATACATAAAAAGATTTATTTTGCAACACTTCACGTTATCAGAGACTGAAATTAAATATGATAGTTCATAATACATGGACACAAAGCTTACCTGATTCTTGTCAGTAATGCAGATTAAGCATATAATAACAGGAACTGTCAATGTAGATTTGAAGGGAAGCATATGGGTATTTCAGGTATTTCCACTTGTTTCAACATTTTGCACAATTATTTTTTAAATTCTTAAATAAAATGCATAACAGGATTTGCTTACTGCTGGCAATGTTTTATAACATAATTTCTTAATACATTAACAATACAAACCTTATGTTGGCCACCTCTGTGAAGTATTGTGACAACCAGTTTTTCTTATGTTTTGCTTTTTATATCTTCAATTACATACACCGAAAATTAGCAAAGACATGTGTATATGTATCTATATTGATACATAATTCTTAATTTGAATAAACAGGTATCACCAGTTTTCAAGGCAGATGGTTGTTAAAAGCCTTTTCTTCAGGTAAAACCACATTATATTTGCATTTTTTACAAACATATGGGTTGTATAATCATTATCAAAAGCTATGTAAAAGTCCCCACTTTTTCCTAACCAAGTTAACAATCAAACATGACTGCAGAAATGAACAAAGTATCGATCTAAGATTTTTTACTATGTTTTACATGCATTTCTTACACAAATAAAGTCAGAACAGATTTTGAACATATTTACACAGTATAACTCAAATGCCCCAAAACTGCTACATTTAACATACTTGTCTTGGCCTCCAAAATATTTCTTGAAAAAAAAAAATTAAAATACACCGTTAATTACCAAAATACAATTGATCTTGTGAGTAATGCAAATGATAAACTATGAGAAACTAACCGCAGTTAAAAGCATTATCAATTTAAATGTATATAGGGAGCTATTGTTTTTGCTAGTTAATTACTTGTTTGTTTGTTTTAGAGCAAAGCTGCATTTGGTTATCTGCTGTATCCACCACAGGGACTTGAGCCCCAGCTTTTAGTGTTGTAAGTCTGTAAATGTGCCACTGGGGGACTGCTAGTTAATATTACTATAGTTACATATTACAATGTTCTATAAGAATATAACTTAAACTTGGAGTATAGGACTGATAGAATTTGTTATTATTACCGAGTATATTAAAGCACAAAATATTAGATATAAAAAATAATATTCTCAATATCTTAACATTACTTACTTGATAACGTACCTGTAGTATCGGAGCTAAAAATGCTTTTCTAAGTTACAGATAATACTGTGTATAATACAAATCTAAAAACCACCATTTTTAAGCTTCGAAAAAATAGGCGTATGTTATTAACATGTAACACTAGTTTCTAATCTAAAAAACAGTGGATTCTGTGAGGAGGAGAAAATGCAGACACATGGAACAATCCTCAGTACAGAAAAGTACGGTCTTTCACACTGTCTACATGAGGTGCACTCACAAAAATACAGTACTTGCAATAATGCACATCAAATAAATCCTTGAACACCCACATCTTTTAGTTTGGAAACTTCACTTAGCATGTAAAATTTTTCACTATTTTTGAAAAACTGATGGGTCTATTCTTAATTATTCATCAGTATTCATGCAGGAAAAAAAGTCAAATATATATACGTCTAATTGAAAATTCTACAGCAGCTACAATGAATACGACACATAAAAATGTAGTTTTGCAATTAAAAAATTACCTTTGAGATAAAATTTTTAAAAGGTGGGAATGTTGAAACAAAAAACAACATCATGTTACAACCATATTTCACACTTAAGAAAGACATTACTTCCTTCATCACTTACTTGTTTTATAGGGAAGTGCAACACATTGTTCAGATACAAAGGCAGTTCTGTAAGCAGCATAGAAAAACCCCAATTACCACAAAACTTTGTGAAAGACAGGGCCCAAAGAGGAACAGAAGTAAGAATACTATGCCATGGTACCTTAGTAAGCTATGTAAAGAAAAAAAAGTTCAGTAAAAATAGTAATTTTTATGAAGTTATTCACCTAAAAACTAATAACCTAATAACATTATACATCTATACATATTTATTATTTTTATTTTATTGACCTTTCAGCTGTGCCTGACTAACATTACAGAAGTTGTGATGACATGGCCCACATACACTCATTTTACCATATCCAAGATTATAAAACTGAACTTTACAAAAAGATCTGTCTTAGCTATGTTCTAGTGGACCAGTATTTTGTAAAATACAGTCACATTTTGGTTATAATACATTACATATGTACATACATCATTACTATTTACAAATAAGTTCTTAAACTTCCGTAATTTTCCTTGAAATATAGAACAGTAAATAAAGAAGTATAGAAAACAATTATCTCTTCTAGTTACAAATTTTGTACTCATTTTCTGCTTGACTTAAGCTGCTAATTTTTGGAATATCTATTTTTAAACTTCTTTGAAACCTTTGTATGTATGAAAAATCAATTTTACTAAATCTTTTGATCTAGTTTCTAATTAAGACTATGTATTATTTTCAATAAGAACTTTGTGGAGTCTAATGTTCCAATACAGAATCTACAGCACAGTTCCTCTATCATAATCATATTTTTCAACAGTAAAATAATGAACACTGGTGTTACTTTAAAAGTGGCTAATTATATCTGTGTTTAGTTAGTATTACTTTACAGAATTCTGTACACAGCAAATTTAAAATAAACCTGCATACTGCCATGCATGATAAAATGCATTTGCAAGTCATTGTTTAATTTCTTACATTCAATGACACTTGTAATTTTGAGGCAAAAGATATGTTTTACCTTATACAAAAAAAATATAAAATGTAGCCAAATTTAGGCTAAATCTCATACAAACATTTTCAATGTGAGGGAAACAACAAAGCATAGTTTTACAATTAGTAACATTTAAATAAACTATATTCAAAAAATAAAGTGATAAAGGGCAGTATTTTTTTATTAGTAGTAAATTATAAAATTATCAATAACACAACAAGTTCTGAAATTTTTACACCACTAATTTAACACCTTGACTTTAAAAAGCTAATTTCATCACAATTCAATATCATGAAATATTCTACATCCATACACAATCAAATTTAAATTATGAAATATAAAACAGTGTTTGCAATGTACGAAACCAAATTTTGTGGCATTTCCAGTGGCAAGTTCTGTAATACTATATGTAAATGTGTTGATTGAAAATATATAATTTAAAAACATAAATTAGTAGAAACAATATTAACACATTCTTCAAATCCTATAACAGCATAGCTTCACTGTAGTGAGTAAAAGACAACTAACAACACCATACATATAAAACAAGTACTACTACTAAAAGAAACTTTGTCTTTTTTTTTTATTTGCCTTTGTTTACTGAAGGGCATGGAATTTCCTGAAATCAGTATAATCCAGTAACAAGTGGTGAACTGAGTGATAGATTGGGAGTTCATAGTTAGTTTTTGATTTTTCAGAATAATGTATCTATAAATGTAGAATTTTTAACATGTAAAGATTAGTGTAATTCTATCTAAACATACCTTTAGGTAATTTGTAATACACTGGCGATTGGTCTGAATATACAATATTTCTCTACGCAATATTGTTGGATGTTCTTCAGGCCAGTCATGAATTAAAAGTATCCAGAAAAAGAACCAAAGAATGCCACATGAACCTTTGAAAAATGGATAGAAATATTTCATTAAATATTATAAAGAAACATACTGATTCTCTCAATATTTTTTTGTTGAGTAGTTTCTATTTGGAGCTATGAAAAAAAGGCTGCAAGGGAGAAAACAGCCGGATTATAAGTTCTATTTGAAAATCTTCAGGATGTTTCTATTCTATACAGAATAATTCTTTGTATTGTTCAAAGAGGTTTTAATAGTATGATACAAAGTGTTTTAAATCACAAGAACAGGATAAAATACCTGTAATTTGCAAGTTTATGATTTAAGAAACGTATATTATTAGTGTTACAGTGGAAGTTTCAAAACAAATAAAAACCAATTTTTTGATACAAATGGATTGAAATGTCATTAAAAACATCTTTAATACACAGCAATAATTTACATATAAAATGAAGGTGTATTATAAAAGTAGATGTGTAAAATAATAATGAACATATGACTACAGTATCAAACTTTTAACTGTATGTATGGACAAGTAACCAATTTAAAATTTTCCCATGTTAAAATATATTGAGTTAACTAGTTATCTGATATATTAACTATATATATCAAATGTGAAAGAAATAGACACTTAATGAATTACCTATGCCAAAACAGAATATACATGCGAGGGTGTTGGTTAAGTTCAATCATACAATTCCAGTTATTGAAACTCATAATTTATCAATAAAATCATACCTTTTCTACACCCCTGGAACACATTTACTAAATAATGGTAAAAGCTCCTACCAAAAAAAATATTATCCTTCAGAAACTCTTGTATCAATTTTAGAAATACACGAAGTTCATTAACAGATATAACACCATCATGTGACCACAAACAACAAAAATCATAATTATCTTACACATCAAGTGAAAAACTTGATTAATGCTATTAATTTTTTAGTTTACTCAATCTGATTAATAGAGTCCAGGTAGCTTAGCATGTAAACCACTCGCCTTCAATACTACAAAGCGAGCCACGTTTGAATCTGAGGCAATCCTACAAAATCTTCCCCACACTTAATGCATTATAAAAGTGATAGTCAAATCTCACTATTTCAGATAAAGCATAGGTCAAGAGTTGCAAATGGCTGCCTTTTTTCTGGTTGGCATTACTAAATTATGGGCAGCAGCAGATAGCCAAAGGTGGTCTTTGCCATAAAATAAAACAAATTAGTAAGAATGATGAATTTTTAAACATTTTATTTTTTAGTTGGAAGAATATAAATTCATTCTTCTAAAACCACTAAAGACACAGTGCTTCCTCAACTTTGAAAAAGAGACAAAATGATATGAAAATGGCAGCTTTTGGCCAAATACTGTACAGTATATTTAAGCAAATAGAACAAGCAAGTTTTTGTCCTATGTGCAAATAACACACATATACATTTGGCACCCTGTCATAACAACAGCATATAGGGTGAGCACCTCTGACCTCCCTGGTTGCTACTTGCTACATGCTACAAAATCAAAAACATGTAGTACACATTTTTTAAATATTCTCTTCATTGCTGCACCAAATAATATAATATTTTATACAGATGATGATGCTGTGACACATAAAAAAGAAAAAAGATGTACTTGTAGAATTAGGCTTAACTCCTTATTTTTCATACAAATCAATAAGCTACATATATCTTAACAGAGAAAAACATGAAATCAAGTTATTATCTTATTATACATAAAACAATCAATGCACGTATATGTCTGCACAAAACTGACTAACCTAACTAATTATCTCCACAAGTTTTTGGATTACCATGATAGATATCAGGAAGAGGAATGTTTGGTTTTTCTTTAACTACACATGTGTGAATGCTTCATGGCATAAAAGCAAATTCACTTTGTAGGAAAACTTTGTGAACTTACCAAAAATGTAGAAAACTGTAGGCCAGCCTCCACCAAAATCACAATTACACAACATAGCAGCAGCAGGTAAGGTAATAACAGTACCCAAATTAGCACCTGTTCCCACCAAGCTGATAACTGTGCTACGTTCTTGTAAAGGGATCCAACGGGCATACATGACATTTAATGCTGGGTATGTAATCCCCTGTACATAAAAAAAATGTATAAAATTTTATGTTAGAAACCCTTTTCTCTGAAAGTTATCCTTTACTGATATTATGAATTATAATTTAAAATATGTGTAGTTTGGAAAATAGTGTCAGTCCCAAAATTTCACACTTTTAAATTGCTAATGATATGAGCTACTTATGTATTCTATGTGATACTACAGTATGCAAGTTAAGATTTTGATTAATTTTCATAATTTTATAAGTATGTAAAACCTTACTTTTTGATGAAGTGAATGAAATCCTTTTGTACTGTTCCCTAAATGCAAATACTATTTGAAAGGGCAACTTAATTACAATTACATGTTCTTAGTTATCAATGAAAGAGCTTCCGGACAGCATTATCTTTGCAAATTTTACCATTTCTTAACAGTTCTCATTGAAACAATATAACTAAGAATAATCAATACTAAATTTGAAATTAATCTGACTTTTGAGACACATTAAAACATATTTTTGGGTGTGTGCACAAAACCAATACATAGTTGAACATACACAGATAACACAATAATCATAATAGAATCATTTAGATGAGGTAAAAATAATAAGAAATTTTTAAATACTGGAAATATCTATGTTTGGTTATTTTTCTACTAATATTTTCTTAAATCAAAGGAAAATATATTTATACATACATGTATATTTAAGCAGTTTCCAATGAACTAAACAAAACAACAATTTTGCCATAAATTTCTATTGCATATTCATGTATGATGGAAAACTTTTAAAACAAAATCAAATAATATTTATCATATATCCACATGTACATTCATATTCTTAGGCCACATTTACTTTCAGTCCACATAATATTCAGAGCTGCACATGTCATGAGTAATTTAAGCTACATATATATAACTAATTGTTTTTATAGGTTAGAGTTTCTAAAAGATTACAATATTAGAAAGACAATTTGTTTCAGTTTAAGTGCAAAGCTGCACAATGGCTATTTGTGCTATGCCACCACAGAGATAAGTTTAACACTAAGCCACCAGTTAAAAATACCCTATACTGAATCTCATCTGCCCACCTTGTATTAAGACAAAGTGTACTTTTTTGAGAATGTTTAGGAAAAGCTCACAGACAAATTACAAGTATGTACTTATACACGGACAGCTGAACATGTTTAAAGCTAAATTTTATAAATGTCAGTTTCAAAAAAATTGTTACAAAAATTCAAGACTTTGTTCATTTTCTATCAAGTATTAAAAAAAGGATAGGTCTTTTACTCTTTTGGTATACATAAAGTAAATATATGTGACAGTTTATCACTGAGTTAATAGAAAAAATTCTTCTGTTCCATATTTCACAAGAGGATTTACTACATAAAGCATGAAATGAAATAGTTTATATGTATTTGTAAAAAAATGATGAAATATGATATAAAACTAAAAATGATAATTATGGTAACACAAATAAAACCATTTTAATATCCCAAAAAACCATGATTCCTACCATATTTTGAACCATACCTCTCCAATACCCTCCAAAATTCTGAGAATTATAAAAGCTGTAACACTCCAACGGGCTACTATAGGTGTCAACATTGTAAGAAGAGATGTCCAAAGAATACCACTTCCAAATAACCACTTAGCACTGTATTGTTCAGCAAGTCTTCCACCAGGAACTTGGGTAAGGATGTAACCATAGAAAAAAGCTGCAAGAATGATACCTTGAAGATTTTCATCCCAGGCAAACTCTCCATCCTTCGAAGCAATATTATTAAACAAATATTGTAATACGTTTAGATGCATAATATTATTAAACAAATATTTTAATATGTTTCTATGGATAAATATTCACAATCAAGCACCAAATTAATAAACTGCAAATTTTTATTTCACTGACCTTAGCTTTCAAACCTGAGCCAAACATTGTGAATACTACCTAACTCTTAGAAGAACATTTGTATTATTGACAAAAGAAAAAAAAGAAGAAATCATGTATTACTCTTTATAGTCCTTTGAAAGATAAAAAATATACACAAAAGTATGACTTTTCATGATATATATAGATGAATATATACATATATCCTGTTTTTAAATTTATCCACATTAGAACTTGCACTTATTGATTTATTCATATACTCACTGTTGTTTCTACAAAAACTAACCCCAAGTTTAATGCAGTCATAAATAAAAGGAATGTAACTAAAGGGTTACAAAACTTTCTTGTAATTGTTTGGAGTTATGAATGAGGTTATAGGATGGATTTTCTAGGCTCACTATGTGTTTCATATCTTAATTAAAAAGAAACATTAATAAAATTGGTGAAAATGTTTGAAAATGGACTGATAATATGCTTTCTGTTAGAAAGCAAGAAGTGTTCATAAATGATAATTATTCAATTTGGAAGAACATTCTTTGTAGATCAGTCAAATCTGAATGTTAATCACAAATTGTTGGACAAATCTTGCAGTTGAAAATATTTCCCTGAGACAAAATCACTTGGTGAGAATTTGATAGTATATTTCAATATTTAAGGTATCAAATTTATAGAAAGTCAACATGTGACGAATTCAGAAAAAAAAGTTATAATCAACAGATTTCTCTTGTATAGGTCATCATTGCAACTATTCAAACTAAAGTGCATATGTCATAACCTTTTACAGAATTACATTTAAAATTTAATTAAACAACTCTATTATCAATGTATGTCAAAATGTAATTTATAATTGAAATTCTTATATGATCCAAGTTTAAGTTTTAAATTTCAAAGGAAATATCTAAAAATATTTTCAATTTTCACTTCTACATGTCGAATGATGAAGCTGCACTCCGAATTGTCCCCTTTAGATTTTATATCATAAATAACTTTCAGAAAGTCCAACTAATTAGAAAAACAAGCTGCATATAATTATAAACAAAATATAAAATCTGAACCTCCTACCTTTTTGAATTTACAAGATATCAATAAAATTGTTAAATCCATCAAAAGATGCATCTCTCATCTGTCATGTCTTTCAAGACAGTTTTATATATAATCACACACACACACACATACATACATAACCTCTACATGGTTGATGGTAATGTTTATAAAAAACAGAAAAAGCAGATTTTCTTTTACATGAAGCTTATTACAATAATTTCTTTTTGGCAGGCATACTTAAACAGCTAACCTTATTGTCTGTGGTAGTTGTTCAAATCTGGCCAGCTAAAAAATTGATTTAATCTATTTATAGCTTATTTAGAAAGCTTTTGAAATTAAAGTAGTTTTGGGATGTTATATTTTAGGAAATGATATATTATTTGTGTTCTAAAATGCATATTTTCAAGCTAAATAAATTTTTTCTTGAACACAGAAATTTGATAGACTCGCTAAGGGAAAATATTGTCTTAAAAATCTTTTAACATTCTTTAAAAAAGGTTACTGCTTATGTACATGAGGGTAAGGGAGTAGACTTGGTTCATCTGGATTTTTCAGAAAGCATTTGACAATGTGTCACATAAAAGGCTTGTAAAAAATTATCTGTATAGATGTGGGGGGATAAGTTAGCAAATTGTATAGAAGAGAGGCTAGATGGAAGAAAGCAGAGGGTTGTTACAAATGGAGTTCAGCCAAACTATATTAATGTCACAAGTAGGGTACCTCAGAGCTCATTCTTAGGACCTTTGCTCTTTTTGATTTATATCAATGACATATTAGGTCATCAAGAAATTAATGTTGCTTTTTTTTAGATGAAAAAACCCGAACAACTTGTATATCAAAACAAAACATTTATTAAATGAAATAGTCTCCATTCTTATCAATGATGCTTTTCCATCTTACAATCAGGTTGTTAATGCCCCGATTAAAGAAATCACTTGGCTTTGAAACAAAAAAACATGTCAATGTCCTCTTTAACACCTTCCACATTTGCATACATTTTTCCAATAAGATGGTGTTGCAGTGAACAAAAAAAAGATGGTAATCTGATGGTGCCATATCTGGAGAATATGGTGGGTGGGGGAGAACTTCCCAACCCAACTCCATAATCCTGTGTTGCGTCAAATATGTCACATGTGGACGTGCATTGTCATGGAGAAGAAGAACACCTTTCCGATTGACGAGTGTTTCTGATGAAGGGCTTGATTTAAATGTTCCAGTTGCTGACTATAGAT